GAGGAGGGGTGGGCAGGGGAAGCGCTGGATATTGGTTTTTTTTCCCCGAGTCTTCGGATGTGCAAGCGTCAGTCCTTGAGTCTGTAATTTATGTGAGCCTTCACCCCCCTCCGTACCTCCTACCCAGCAATGAGCGACTTCCTTCGGCGTCGGGGTTGCTGGCTAGTTTTCATTATCGAAAGGACCCTTCCCTCTCTTATTAGATCTGCACATCCAGGAGCGCATTAGAAAAATTAAATACGGGATATGAGTCATCGTCTCAGCCTTGGCAGCTGCTGTGCTGTGAGTTCTCTCCATCTCTCTCTCTCTCTCTCTCGTTCTGTGCACCCGACTCTGGACCCGACTGATTCGTAGGACACTGGCGGCTCGGGCTAGCTGACAGTTCCTGTCCTCCATCTCCGTCCGAAGTGGGCCAGATCCGCGTGTCATTCTGTCGTGTCCTCCGTGGCTGGTGACGGCGACACAAAGCCCTTCCTTGTGTTTGGGAAGACGGACACGGGGGCCAGCACAGTGGCACTCTGTTGGCGTGTGCATTCCGAGGCTGCATCGGCGAATAAAGATCCAGATTCACATGCGCCCACGCAAAACCCCACCCCACCATCGCCGAACCACAGAAACGTTCTTCATCGCCCGTGGCATTTAAGCATCTTCTGGGACAATTTCATATGCAGAAATGTACTGTTTTGCTTCTTGCTGTAAGACCACATGTTATTTTGACAACAGAAGTGCTGTTTTGTGATGAAATTATAAAAACAATGTTGTAATGAAATTATTAAATAATCTGCCCCAAAACTAAATATGCATATATCAGTTTATATATTAAAACAGCACTATATTACTGGGTGAAAGTAATATATAGAGAATGCAATACAGACGCTGCCCAGGATACAATGGTCCATGTTACGATATTTTGAATTTTCGGTGTATTAATGTTTTTTTTTTTTACTTTCAGTACATTATTCAATAAGTTACATGAAATATTCAAGACTTTATTGTAAATCAGGCTCTGTGTTACTGATTTAGCCCGACTGTAGGCTAATGTAAGTGTTCTAAGCATGTTCTAGGAAGGCTAGGCTACGAAATTATGTAGGCCTATTTTAGGTTAGGTGTACTGTATTAAAATGCATTTTCGTCTATCGATATTTTCGCCTTAAGATAGGTTTATCGGAACATAACCTCATCATAACATGGGGAGAGACTGTATTCATTTCAACAAATACTGGATTTTTATACTTTTTTATTCAACTCATCTGTGGGAAGGTGAACACCTCATATGTTCAGACTAGTGTCTTAAAAAAAAAAAACTCTGCATAACTTTTCATACATAAAATGCACAGAATTAAATTAGATGTAATGTCTGTTTTAGATGATGAAAAGGCAAACTGGTAGGGACAGAGGTCAGGGGTGGGCGATCAGCTGCATCTCCATGGTGATTGATCCCCCAGCCAGAGACTAGAGCACTTTGGGTAATGAAAGCCAGCTGACCCTGATTAGTGTGGATTCATTAAGGTTGAAATAAGGTCAGTTGAACTGCTGGGTAAAACATATGTGCCAGCTTAGGTGGGTTCTGGCACCATGGCTTACTCACAGTGCTTTGGGACATTTTCAGTTTATCTTTGATCGGGTCTGTGCTAGTCCTTCATAGATAAAAAAAACAGAATTTTGCTCTTTTTGTTTGAGGACTCTGTCTTGGTCATCTAAGCTACAAGACTGAATGGAAATAAGCATTAATATAACCATACGGCACTTCAGATCTTGGGTGAAAAAAAATGATCAATATAATGGTAGTAAATAGTCTTAACCAACTATGCGAACTGAATGAGGACAAAAGGTACCAGAAAAATATCAAAAGGCTTAATATTACTATAGATTATAACTAGAATGATTCTGTTTCAAAGATTCTGAGAGTCAATGGACCCTGTGTTCTGGAGATTTTACCAACCATAGTGAATCACCCAATAGACTATCGTTAAACAAAGAGGAATTATTTTGGTGTAATGAGTAACGCTATAGCACAGTAACGTATGTTTTGGTTGCTTTGCTGCCGAAACGCAAAGCATTTACTTCCGCCACCCAAACACCCAAGGAAGGGGAGGAACAGATGTAAGTATCTGTGGGAGCACCCCGTTCATTAGTCACAGATGCCACAAAGTCTCCAGAGATAAAGCTGTCACCCCCCCCCCCCAGCAACACTACCTGTAAGATGTGCAATCGCACGACAGATGAGTGTATGGGTGTATAGAGACACAGTTAAAGGTAGCTCAAAGCGATCTGTCAGCTTCCATCTGCATGACAATGAAGGACAGGAGCTTGTCCTGATTCTGTACTGCATGAAATAATTGTGAAGTCATGCCTAAGGACGGAAGGACGGCTACAGGGACAGCGCTGGCTTTTGTTTTTCCTCAGCAGATGACCCGATTTTGCCAGTGCCCAACCACGACGCCTCTCTCCCACTTAAAGGGGATGCCATCTGACCCAGATCCTTTGCAGAACTGCACATTAGAGATGAAGAAACACAGCTCATGCTAAATTCAATTATGGGGTAGTTGCCAGCATGTTTGGTTTGTTGACTGTAATACGGGGATGTGGGTTTGTTTTTTGTTTTCAATTTTTGTTCAAGCCAATTTCCTCGGAAAATTGGTCCCAGGCTTCTTATGGAACCATTTTTTTTAAGCTTAATTGTGTAATTTTTTTATTAGCTAAAAAGGCAGGTGATTGATTACTTCTTAAAATTTTTAGGGCAACTACAACATGAGCGTTATTTATATTTTAAACGTGTCGGTTTGCCTGATGATAAATTCAAACTAAATTAGATTTTTTTTAAATCATATTGCATTTGTGGAAAATGCAAAAACTATCTACGACATGTACACAGAACATGACAAATGGCACATGTTAAATAACACAAAGGGCCATCTTTTAAAAGCCATTTGAGGGAAGGTTTTGACTTCTAATTAAACTGACAAGTATAGCAGACACCTGTTTGCAAATAGATTACCTGTCATTTCTAATTTCAGAAATGCAATGGGAATCTGTCAGTTTGCACCTGGAAGAAATAAAGCATGCATTATCTTAACAAAGGCATCTTTATTTGGTTTAGTTACATTCAACACTACTGTTGAAGTGTAAAATTGCAGTGGACTATGCTACAAGACAGTTATGTATGCAGAATTAAATAAAACTTTACATTTTAAATGCATGCCTGCACTTATATAATCCATACGAATTACTGAATTATAGTGTTCCGCAGTTTGTCTTGATTATTACAAAACGAATGTGTGCCCTGGCTATACTGGCCAACCAACAAAGGTGAACTGATAATGAGTCAAGGCTGAGAGATCATTAACTTCAGAGCACTTAGAGCTCTCTAAGGCATAACAGCTAGGAGGACAAGACTAGAGATTTCCCTTTAGACTTAGAAGTTAGTAACTCACAGGTTAGCAACTAACATTTGGGAACAAGAGGCAGAATTTGTGCTGCAGGCAGGATATTTTGCATAAAAAATCTAAGTGCAGCGCAAATAATGAGCTATGAAAGGGCCTGTTCTGTGAAGTAATGACGCAAGCGATGGGTCTCTGGTAAACTACAGGTCTTTGTATTTTTTTGACCATAGTTTGGTGCTGATTTCCACACATTAGCAGTATGACTGAAGCCTGCACCATGATGATCTACACAGTCATCAGAAAGAAGACAAGGTGTAAATTGAAGCGTTATTGGAAGCTGGGAAAAGCCTTCTGGGAATTACCCAGCGCTGAAGTTTTCAATTAAAGAGTAGCTGGAAAGTGTCACGAGGAAGGAGAGAAACCACTAATGTATATTTCATAGGACCACGTAGTCACAGAATCTAGACTGGGGAAATGCCAACTGGTCATGGTCTTTGTGGACAAACCACAGCAGCATCACCCTCAGTTACCCTGAATTATCCTGACTCTTTAAACTGAAGCTCAATCAATCCACATTAGTCCAATATACAGTAAGTCTGAAGTGCTAGATCATTTTCCATCTTTTTCTCTTGCAGACACATTTAAAACTGGCGGCTCCAGAGTACTGTATATAAAGTATCACATTTCCTTTCACTGTTTAGCCAAGCCTGTAACTGATCCAAAGGACATTTGGGTAACTTCATTCTAATTCCTCAATATTACAGTGATCTAATTTGACATCTTCCTAATCTGCTTCATGGAAAACTGAAATCCGTATACATCTCTAGATTTACATGATAGCACAGCTGATCCAGGAGTGGCCGCAAGTTCTGCAGTTAATAAAATTAACAGCTTTAATAAACAAGTCAGCATCGCCTGTAATGCGCTGGAAATGGAAATCTAACTCAGATGCTAAAATATATATTTTTAATTAGAAGAATTCAGCAGCAGATGCAGAAATGTTAAACATAAATTTAAATTAGCAGTACAATTCGCGCTTAATGAGAAAATGCTTTATTTTGATTTCAGATAGTGGTCCAGCAGTACACTGCATGGCATATTATTTTTATGATAATATTATCATTATGCTAATATCAGACATAGAGCGTGTGTGATGAATCATTATGTGCTACCATAATGCTGTGTAATGACTGTTTTCCCGGCGAATAAAACACGCTCCTCCATATGCGATTGTCGCCCTTCCTTTTGGCGCTGCTGTGCCTGAGGAAAGTTGTCTGGTTCAAGGTGCGCAGGCTGCACATCTCTTAAAACAGATCGCGGACTGCCAGGAAAGCGAAAAGGGACGGCGGAAAAGGGAAGGAAAAAAACAACTTGCCAACACCGACGGGTGGGTGAAAGGAGAGGTGGAGAGGGAGGCAGGAGTGGCAGGGCTGACAGTGATGGGTGTAGAATCCCAAGTGAAGCAGACACGAGAGACTAAAAACAACCCGCAGAAATCAGCTCTATGTATAGACCCAGATAAAAAGTGAAAAATATCTCCCATAAAACGATAACATGCTGATAGCAGGTATTGAGGGACAAGCTCAGCTACTAGCGAGATACAGTGAGTTTCTGGGAACTGTGGGTGTCGTTTCCCTGCACCTTCACCAATGCAGTATAAAAGAAACAGGCTGCGTAAGGATGCTTTTTGTTAATCGTGTTTTTAATTAAAATGCACGTAGGTGAACAACACGATGCATCGACCCTGAGGCCAGTGGGACAGGCAGCCGATCTGATCCGCCGCTTATGGCAACTAAATCAACGAGTCTGATAGTTTACTCAATGCAATATTCACGGTAGATGGCAATTTCCCCAGCGAAAGCACTGCCTTGGAGGAAATGGCTTAGAACGGTACGTGACTATAGCCACAGGCCCATCGCGTCGAATTTACCATGGCACCCCTTCCATGCGGAAGACGAACGAAAGGGAAGAATCCTGAGCTACAACAGTGAACAGTGAAATGATCTTACTACTTCCTTTGAGATTTTTGACACTTCGAGAAAAGTCTTCTTGCGTTGCAATATTCAGAAGTGGTCTCTGTCTTCTACAAGATCATTTAATCGAAATACAGGTACGTCAGATCTGGTTTTAAATTTACACAAGTAATGTCTGGTGACATATTTATTTTTCTAATCTTATAAATACAGCGTCTGAAACATGAAACAAATTCACTAAACATTTAACAGGACTAGACTACCTGAAACAGTCCTAGACTACCTGAAATGTTTGCCTATATAACTACAATATCGAAATCATACAGTAATAAAACTAAGGAGAAATAAAGCAATCTGCTTGCAGTTCTATGCTTCTGTATCAAGAAATGATCTGTATACCTTTAAATTATTTAAAGACTACTGTTTACTACTGATCAGTAGTACTTTGCCACAACGGTAAACAGATGTAAACATTGGTAGTGCATCTATAACTTTGAATCACAAAACAATATCAACAAACAAGAAAACAAACAAATATCAAGAAGAATATTAGCATTAATGATACTGATTTACCATGAGTCATGAATCAAAACAAATAAGTGACAGTCTGCGAAGCCGCATGCGCCCAAGACTCAAAGCTCACTGTAACCCAGAATCCCTTTCTTTGTTGTCCTGATGTACTAAAAATAGGACAGCACTTTGAAATGTAAGTATACAAGAAAAAAGATTCAACTTTTGTTATAATCTCTAATCTAGGATCAGATAAAGTCCGCTGCTTTTATGTCTTATAAATCCCGTCTCAGTTAAAACCATTCATGTAGCCTATCGATGCATCCGTAGTCTCGATTTTACCGAATTTTTTATTTGATTATGCTCAACCCACCCTTTTCAGTGTGTATCACTCTCAGAGACATCCCTCGTGCTTTTTAGCCTACATCTTGCCTTTGAACATAAACAGTACAGAGAAGATTCCACGATTTTCAGGTTTTATTCTAATAAAGTGGACGTTATTATTACTGCGAAGCTACAGTATGTATAGATCATTTTATACATATTAATTTGATGACAGTTTCACACATACAAAATTAACCCCGGAGAGCTATATTAACATACTAGGCATATAGCCTACATACTATAAAACAACTAATTGGATTAATATACTTTGCTATCGATTAAGTTTATCATAGAAAAAACATCACTGATAAATAGATATTAAATCAAAGACAGCGCACTTACTACGTATATTCATCGGGTGTACTAACTTGAGCGACGCAATTGTTAACCATGCAGCAACGATTGGGTCTGAGGATTTAAATGCTGTTGTTAAGTGTCACAATATGTTATCATATCATATCCTGAATTATACGGTGCCATTTAAAACTGCATTTACCCTTTGCCTTTCCACGTTTTATTATACTTTATTGTAGCCTACATTTAAAGATGTTATTACAATAAAAAAAGAGACAGAGGTTATGCAGATGGTATCGGAATTAACGATACGTTTTGATAAGGCATCCGAAAAAGCTAGAGGACATCTTTCTATAAATCAATGTTGTTGTTTTAGTTAAACATTCTTCAGTAATGCATAGCTAAGGATCGTAAAAAGCACAACACATCGTACACTGTATTACATTTATCGAAACATCAGTTGTACCCCAGAGCCGGACACTAATCACTCTAAAAGTCTGTCACTTTTTTAACCAGAGATTGAAAGTATTCCAAAGTTGATTTTTTTATGTTAATTATGCCAATGATATCAGGTTTTACTGTGAAATAACAGTTGCAAGTCGTTAGAAATATATGCAGTCTATATTTTATTTCATTATTTGGTCAGCGTAATCTAGTCGGGATTTCGGGTGCATAATAACAATTGGTTTGTCTGAATAACCAACGCCGCCATAAAGACTTTAAGTCCTGTTAGCTTGCATAAAGTCCAGTTCTATCTCTGTTGTTCAAAGCGACACGCCAGCGAAGCAAGATAATATTCAATTAACATAAAGATCCCCGGAAAAGAACAAAGTGACTGTTCGGCCTAATAAACCATTGTATCCCGAGAACATCTGCCGAGATGGAGCCATATGGCCGGAGAATCAGAGCACAGCTTATCCCCGATGCAGACCACTTTGCATCTGCTAAACAAACGGAGAGAGCCGTCGGAGCTTCCCGTAAGCGAAATATAAAGCAAAGGATTAGCGTAGTAAAAAAGCTCCAAAACGCCCCACTGGACTAGATTACGGCGGTCGCAGTCTGCATGAAATGATGGTTAAAGGGTAATATTATATGTAAGGCATGTCAGCGTCCATCTCCAGTTGTTGAAAGTTCAGCGGAGAAGGGGCTACTCGCACACAGGGGATGACGCTCCGGAGAGCGGGATGTGCTCTCACAGAAGTGGGCTAACATCACGGCATAGACCCGACACTCCGAGTTACGATCTAGATTGGACTAATAATAATAATAATAAGAAGAAGAAGAATAAGACAAACGTTTTGCTGCATGAAAATAAGACATCTACAAATGCGTTATTGTCAGTTTTTACGTGAATAATGCGATCTTACCTGTTTACATGCGGAGGTATAACACGGCCGGGACGACAAACAACCAGAGATATATATATATATATATTATATATCCTTAGCTGATCTCCACATTGTCAGTAAGAGGCTTTCACTGTAACAAATAATCCTGATGCTACTGTGTAACAATAAACCCCAGCAGACACAGAGGAGAGAGAGAGAGAGAGAGAGAGAGAGAGAGAGAGACGGCGGGGGGGCGGGGGGGAGGGCAAGGCTATAGAACTATCCTATCCAATTACAGCAGACAAATGAGAAGCTAAATGAAACATTCTGGGTAGGACCGTGCACCAAATTGTCATGTATAAAACCTGTCTCCCACCGTATGCCAAAAGCAGCCGGTGGGGAATCACTCACAGGTCCGATGCTTTCCATCGGCGTAGCCTCTGCCACCTATCTCACAAATTATCCTATCTCACGGAAAGGATGAGTCAAGCATTTCCATGTTACTGCCGTGTAAATTAGCCTAAAGTATACTTGAATATTATTGAATTTCACCACATGGATGCCTGTTGGTCTTTTAACTGTGTTGTATTTCCTTTGACGTTTACAAAGCATAACATGTTAGCTGATCGTGTAGGCATTAATCACCAAATTTGCGAATCGCCAACGCTTTTTAAGTGTATGCATCAAAGGTGTAAGCAATCAAACGACAGTTGTCAAACAAATCTGAAGTGACAGTTTGAATGACTAACAAAGTCATTCCATATTTGTCAGTATTGAATAATTGTGTTAGACTGAAGTAAATTTGTAACCGTATAGATGAAGTGTTTTTACGCAGCGTTAGCGAATCCAGTAGCAACCGTTGGTATGTGCTGCCATCTAGTGACCATAAATTATTTAAACTTTAAGAGAAGAAAAATAATTATTCTTATGATACAGGTATCCCTCTTGTGCATTTATTTTACCATAAAACAGCTAAGGAGTAATTCTCACACTAAGAATAACTGTAATTGCAAACGAAAGCTGTATGTTTTATAGGAGCAGATGTACTGAATGCAAATCAGGTTAGTTTTTCGTAATAGTTGTTGTTCTTACACAAACTGTATAATTAGCAGTATTGTCTTCAAATGGTTCAGTTTTCCTTCTGATTTATGTATGTTAGTCTTATGTCTTTAAAGGGAAGCTGAAGGAAATATTGATGGGCAGCTCAGACACTACTGTCAGTACGAGATTAAGTCAACAGTTAAGTGTGCAAGCAAAATTATACCTGCAATAGCTAAGCGAAGTGTGCTGCTAGCACATATGATGCCCATGACTGTCAAAAATGTCTCTTCCAGTGACAGCGATGTTTACTGTTGACTGATGCATTCCTATGAAAGGAGACCTCAACGATTCTGAGTGGCAGGTAGCTGCTGCTGGCAGGTCCTTCACAATGCTCTTGACGTCTGGGTTCATGTGCATGAAGTGGCAGCCCTAGGCCAAGTATCTAGTCAAGGGGGGATTTGGCATTTCCAAAGTGGGGGAGTAGTCTGTCATAGACTGGGTACAATTAGAAGATTGATGTCCTGCTGCGGCCTGCATCCCATGATGCAGCACTCATCTCATTTGGGGCTTAGAGGCTGTTTTCCTGGTTGCTTCACTCACCACATTGCCCGTCTGCTTCATCACGCCATCGTCCATATCCTACAGAGTGCCTCCAGGCTCATCTGCCAAGGTTGCCATGCCAGCAGTCGTCAAGAAACTGGTGTCAACCACAGGAACTCTTCAAAAGACGCCTCCAGATTTCAGCTGAATAGTTCCAGGCCGTTATTGACCCTCCTGTACAGAGTATCGTATTGATTTGCTGTTTCCGATGGACGCGAGTTATACAGAGTCGATTTTTCCATGCTGTACTTTCATTTGATAAATTGCTGTTAGGTTACAAAATGTTTTTGATTTCCATTTACTTGTTAATATCTATGTAGAACACATAATTGTAGATATACAGTATTGCCGTATGACGTAAATATCAAGCTACCATTTATTTGTACCTTTCTCACACATCAGATGGTTGTGATGGTGATTTGCAAACAAGATATAGGAGATTGTTTTTTGTTGTTTTTTTTTTCCACAAGGATTTGCATTGCGGTCACCGCACACCAGTACCACACAGGTGCAGGACGGGTGGTGTTAGGTTGCGATCTGTGAAGCGCTCCTCTCAGCGAGGCCTTTTGCACAGGATCAATAAAAGCCAGACAAAGAGCTGCATTTCCAAAGAGGCTTCTGATATTTCCCAGGAGACCATAAAAAAAAGAAGAAAAAAAAAAAGTCAGAGCGTGCTTAGCTCTGAATGGTTATCCACGTTGTTTTTGTCCCAACAAGGCTAACATGACACTCGATTCGAGCGTCAGCAGTGACAGACTGGCCAACAGCTGGCCCGTGTGGGAGGAGCTGCTGGGCAGGCCGAGGAATAAGGTTTCAGGCCTGAAGGCGTGGTATCAATCATGAGCACGCAATAAGAGCTGCCTAAGCCCTTGTGGAATGAATGCCTGCTCCTTATGCCTTTTGTAATTCAGCCTAAACATAGCAGAACAAGAAAGGGTGTGTAAATAGCAAAGACAAAGGGTAAGAGAGAACAGAAATGTGGGGAAGGTGGTGTCCCCACAAAACAGACTATAAACCACACTCACAGCAATAGTATAAAACTAGCATGCTTGCCCTGGAGTATGATGCCCTCTGTTGGTCAGTAGAAGATTTGCAGCTTTCAGCTGGTGAAGTACAGGCTACAGACAAAAAAAAAAGAGGTGTCATATTACAAGCCGTGCCATCAAACGGAGAAGAGGATAACTGGTCACCTGTCTGTCTGTTATTTTGCATCTTCATAATTATGCAATTGTGATATGATTAGACTCTTGGATTTTACACATCTGTGGTCATCAGAGTCAATAACAACCTTCTGGAGGTGAAGTTTAGGATATAGACACCTATGGAAAGAGGGAACATATTTCCCCTCTTCTACTGAGACACTGATTTCTTGAGAAACTCCTCAAACAATCCCTGGAATGCTCCTCGAAACGTGCGGCCGTAGCTGCCGGTGGTTCATGGCTAACCTAGAGGCGGCCGCTTCGATGAGACGCAAATTAGTGCGTCTGAGGTCCTGCCGACATTCTGCTCAGCCGCGTTTCGCGTGACTCCGGCGTGTAGCAGTCGCCACCCCTGTCTGAGCACAAGCTGGAAGCTGAATAATTCAGGGCCAGCAGAGTGGCTGAGTGCCGTGGTCTGAATGCTGTAGGTGAAGTACAAAGAGTGCCACGGATGAAAATGCAAGCAGGGAGGGGGCGTGTGAAAAAAATTGAAAGAGTCAGTGCTGCAGTGTTAAGCTCCTCTGCATCTTTATATGCTTTGTAGAGGTGTAGATGACCATAATCTCTTCATAATTATGATGATGTGTACAGAAGGGTTGCTGTAAGATTTTAAAAATGAAATCCAATGCCTTTTAACACCTCAACAAAGACTAAATGGTGCTATTATACGTGTGAGGAGGAATATACCAGGCATGATATCTGTCCATGTGCAACAGCCATACGCCTCTCAGGAAAACCTAAGTCTCATGTTATGCCCAGAATTACTAGATTCAAATGATTTAAAAATCAGGGAAGAGGGTTTCCTAATGTTGTGAGCCTGTAGGTTATACTGCTGGGAGATATCAACAGTTTTCCACCTTCGATTTGAAGATTAAAACAGAAAGAGAGTGTTTGAGATGGAGAAGAAGAATTGAGGAAGGAGTGCAGATTAAAGGAGAAGGTGTAAATTTCAATGGAGTCAGCTCCCTTGTTCTTGAAATATGGCCTTTTAAAGGCAGCAGCTGCAGACTGGGATTTTCTTATTTTCTAAGTCCAACTCCTGGGAACAGAAAATCATGAAAAAATACAAAGTACAGTTGATTTGTGGTGAAAGAATCCAGTGTTCTTTTGATGTACCACGCAATTGGTAAATGAAGATTTTTCTTTGTGATTTTCAGTGAATTCCAGTCAGCCTGCATCTTATGCGGTTTTTGATAGTGCAGTTTTGAACAATCATGGTTTGGAAAAAAAAACACACACACACACACATATACGTATGCGGTTTTGGAGTATCACGGCGGGTTGTGGAACCAATTGACTACATAAGATGCGGCAGCATTGTAACATTTCTTCTCAAGTGTCTGCACTCCAAATTTGGTCTTGCCCCTATTTTCACGGCCCTTTCGGAAAGCGGTGGGGGTTTGTGTGAATTCCAGGCAGTTCAAGACGAAACCACAGAGCAAGAATTTAATTAGAAAATTGTTCTGGCAAAATATGTTATTATTATTAAACCATATATTGGCCCTCAGAATCGCACTTGTTGAAAAACTATAGAACACTGAACTTGATTGAGCACTTGTTGTGATTGCTTCTGTATTGCATGCTATTGAGGTCCAGTAGGAGCAACAGATGAATAGATTTAATTTGAGAATTGAGTGTCTTAATCCTCATTGAACCTAGTTTGAATGTCTTTCAACATGTTTTGCATCTAGCCTCAAGCAATTGCTTGTCGATGCCAACCAGTTTCCCATTCATCCACCAGACGCTGCATTTGCATTTGCCAATTTTTACGGGCTGTTCCCCAACCGCAAAATTAGACGACCCAGTTGGAACATACTTAAGAATTGTAAGGAATGCAAACCTACAAAAACTGAAGAAATTCTAAGAATTATATTCTGGTTATATAGTACGCTTACTCAATAAGGCTTCAGGGAGAATGTAAAAAAAAAAAACAACGACATTTTAAAGCATTTTGTGACCTTAAATTTTGAAAAGATTTTTTTTTCCATGAGTTACAGGAGCAGGTATGGAGAGAGGAAACCATGTGCATCTGAAACACCCCCTAGTGCCACTGGGCTGCTAATAGAGTCCATTAGCAAAGCAGAGGGCAGGTCAACATTCCCCGACAATGGAGGATAACCTTGAGCCGATGCATGAGCATGTACTGCAGGACGAGCTCTGCAAGCATCAAACCTAGACATGTCCCGACATAAACATATATGCTGGTTTTCATTGACAAAAAATTGCAAAAAAGCAAATTAGGCCTCTGTTTTTGGTTATTTTGCTGATGTTGATGTCTAACATTTCTGCTGGTACGTTGAAAAAAAAGGAAAAAGTGGAGGAAAGCAGTTCAGCGATAAGGATGGTTCCAGTGTG